ACATGACAGAAAATTATTTTAGTTTGATTTTTTCATGGCAGATTTTTTTCGTCACCAAAGGGCCCGTACCCACCTATGATCATTTCCCCATGAAGGCACTGCACACTGCTACGCGGGAGGAGCTACTACAGAGGTACACGAGTTTGAGTCATGACTCACACTAACAGCATTTCAACGTCTAAACAGCTTGAACTTTAACCAAAGAACAGACTGTTTAGGTTCACAAACTGGCTGGTGTCAACAAACCGGATTAACTGGTTTGTTGAGTGCCTCACCAGAGCTGCAAGACTTCCTTCCTTCAACTTCAATGTCCACATATCAAGTTCAAATGAATGAATAACCGTGGGTGTGCAGATTTTTGTTAGTCCTCCTCCCGCTGGATGTCAGGCCAGCTATTCACACCACACAGTCACAAGCAGTATACTATTTGACAGTCGGCAGCGAAAACACTGATGTAAAATCATATATTGGAAATACGATTCAACATAGAACCAAAATGATTTTGATCTAGAAGGACACTCAGACAGTGCAAACCTCCACCAAATCTGCAACTGCAACTACTACATATGTCCAGATACATTTCCAAAACTATTATGTCAAAATATGGTTGTGCTGAAGCCTTATTATCTCAGCTGTAAATGTATTATGTACTTCTTAATTGATAATATTTCATATACATTTGTGAAAACCAGAAAACACTCCATTATCATGTACATATGTACAAATTTGAAATATATCGACTGAAATATGGCAGCTTGTTATTAAAAAAAAGAACTGTATGCTCATGTGGCAGACATTTTGACTCAAATTTAAATTTGCGTATAGAAAAAAACTGATTACACAAATCAACATGAATATGTTAATATTAACACACGTGATGTTACAGATGTACTGGTTATTTCATGAAACCACTGACCATGAGCACTCCATCTCTTTTCAATAGCCCAACACCCATTAATCACATTTCCATTCCGAGATGGCGAAACTTTAATGTTTTGTGATGTAAATTTTACCTTTACTTTATTTTCCTTTTGCTGACAGACAGGCAGCTAGCTGCATTTACATGTGGAGATGTGCCTACTGCCCACGTCGCCACTGGTTAGCTAGCTGAAGCGTATCAGTCATCAGTGTACGTCACTCAACACCATCACATCCGTTTAGGAAGATGTGTAATCATTATTTCAACAGCATTTCAGTGACTGTATTTCTATTTTTGTAACCACAGCACATTTTTAAATATAGTCACTGGATTTCTTTTGAAACAATGATTGTAATACTTAACATTGACTCATAAAGAACTGTCACTTTCCAACATGATTTAGCCCAGTTTTAACCTTTATGTTTCAATGTCTTCGGAACAGAAAATCATGCTTACTGAGCAGAGAAGGCTAACCTGAGACCATCCAGAAGCCACAATAGCAAAATATGCAAGATTAACTGTCTGTGAGCCCTGTCTGAATCTTTACACTAACATGGCCTTCATTAGGGTGAAAATATTTTAGTTCTGACCTGAAATATTAAAGATTTCTGTGGAATATTACAATTGTCTTTTCCATTTCTCGGATAAGGAACGAGGGCGAATGTCTCCCCCTTTCTTCTGGCTGTGGGGGTAACAGTACCACACCTGACTGGTATATGTTAATGTCAGTTTTTAACATTTACACCCAGTGATGTCCCCTACTGGCAACTTAATGTTTCATTCTTTAACAACAGGATATTTCAACCAACCACAAATATGAAGAGGAGGTTTAAAATTAACAGCTATTTTAAACCAGCCTACATGTTGATCTTGTGGCGTTGAAAGGTCAGACACTCCGTGACTGTGCTGACTGTGGACCGTTTTTTGTAGCTTCCTGCCAAACATACCCACCCTTTTCTTTATCTCACCTCCTACTCACTCTCACTGCTTTCTCTCTGCCTTTTCCTTTCTGTGTTAGTGTATTTCTAACTGTAAAGAATTGTAAATGTCACAGGAAACAGTGCCCCATTTCCATCTGTAAGCAGGTCATGTTATCACATAACACAACACAGACATATGACACTGAAATATTTAAGGAATTGCAGACACTTTTTCATACCGAGGGTTAGATCTCTGATCTTGTGCCTTCCCACAACTTCCTTTTTAAGGTGAGGTTTTGTTAACACTTCTGTCTGGTTTTGCATAGGCATGCATATTTACATGAGAAACATAAAGGCCAACATGTAAAACAACTACATACTGTACATGTACTTAAGTACTGCTCTTAAGATCAACTTTGAGGTACACTGCTTGCCTATTTCAATTTCATATTTCCTTATTCTTCTGACCCAATGATCATCTCATAAAATATGATGCAATTTTTAGGTTACACAGTATATTCATTAATTCATTCATTTTCTAAAACCGCGTATCCTGTTGGGGGTCATGGGGGTGCTGGAGCCTATCCCAGCTAATATTGGGCAACAGGCTGGGTACACCCTGGACAGGTTTCCAGACTATCACAGGGCTGACACATAGAGGCAGAAAACCTTTCACATTTGGAGTTTGTTCTCCTGTAACTGATTGTGTTAAATGGGCAGATGATATCATGTCATATCAATAGAGACAGACAACCATTCACTCTTACATTCACACCTACGGACAATTTAGAGTCACCAATTAAGCTGCAGGTCTTTGGACTGTGGGAGGAAGCTGGAGTACCTGAAGAAAACCCACGCTGACACGGGGAGAACATGCAAACTCCGCACAGAAGGGCTCCCCCACCCCGGGTTTCAAAACCCTCACCACCAGAAACCTTCTTGCTGTGAGGCTACAGTTATTACTTACTTCTGAAGTACACGTTTGTACTTCTTAATGCAGGACATTTACTTGTGATGGAGTTTTTTGTCTTTTATATTGTGTGGTAGAGCTACCTTACAAAAAGATCTCAATACTTCTTCAACCACAAGAGGGGAGAGGACAGAAAAATGTTTTGGCTTCACCTAAAGTTAAGGGAAAAATGATTTTGATGTAGTCTATCTTATTTTTTTGTTTTCATGTGAGGTACTGACGGTTAGAAACATCATGCGGACAGTTAAAAATGACTTTAAAAGCGTTTCTTTCTGCTGGTTCAACAGTGTTATCTCCCCATAACATACAGTAACATCCAACGAACACTGATAAGTGTCAACAATGAAACTAGGATATTTTGCATTGTTTATCATAACAGTTATGTATTGTTGTGTTATTCTATTTTGCTGATGTCCTGTATCTTCAGCATGTTCAGCTACAGTTAATATGGAATTATGTTTGCCAAATGTGTTAGTATCTCTTAATAAGTCATCAGAAATCAGAAGTCATCTTTAGAAGGAGCAGATGTTTATCTTAAGCTAGCTTGGGCCATGTTAAAGTTAACAATATTTATAACTTTTCTATAACATGTGGTGTGTTTCATGTTTTACTTCCCTATTGCTCTTGGAAAGAAGAATAGAGTATTGTAAACAAACTGTTACCATCGGAATTCGCCGGTTACGGTTCAACGCCGGAAGCTGCACATATAATTCATGCAAGGTATCATGGGGGCTAGGAATAACGTGGATAGGAAAGCTTTCCCTTTTAATGCCTTTTGTGATTTATAACTTTTGTGTTTTATGTCCTTTGCATTTTGTTGTCTTATTTCTATGCACTTTGTGAAGCACTTTTAACCTTGTTTAGATAAGTGCTATACAAATAAAAATATTGTTATTATTATTGTAAAAAGAGCATGTTTAAACGCAACCTGCCGAGTTAGAATTAGTTAATGAATAAAGGACCATTTCAACAACAGTTTGGCCTCTTGGAGTCTCACTTCTTAACACATGCTCAATTATCTTCTATTTTAAACAAGATATCTATAACATAATGTCCATAGCTGCCCCTAATGCATATTTTTCTGCCCAGCTGGCTTGGGAGCATGACCTAAATACATCTTTGACTGCCTCCCAATGGAACATAATTTGGAGGTCAGCTTTGAATTCTTCTAAATGTGTGAGATTTAGGATAATACAATATAAGATTCTGTGCAGAGCGTATATCACTCCTGTCAGTTTATCCAAGATGGATGACAAACATCAAGATTTATGCTGGCATAACTGTGGCAACCGAGGTTCTCTGTTTCACTTACTCTTGGACTGTCCATCTGTTAAAACACTTCGGTCAGAGGTGATATCTCTTGTGTGAGAGTTTTTCCATGTCAATTTCCCTGTGTGTCCTAAAGCATTCTTACCGGGCCTGGAGTTGGACACTGGCTTGCCTATTCACTAAGAGACTTTTAAACTGGAAGGAGTGTGAAGCAGCCTGCTACACAAGGGACTCCTGGCTGAAGGAATATCTGGACCTACTAAACATGGAACAAGCAAGGAAAGCCTGTTAAAAGACTATGATAAGTGGCTGGAGGACCACTGGAACACTGTTCTTACACTTTTAAAGCTGTATACCCCATTTTATATACATAATGGAAGCATGAGATATGTTGTATGTTTCATATGCTACATGGATGTCACCCTTGCATCACCGCCCATCTCTTTTTTTTCTCCGATGACTGTTCTTTGGCTTGTTTATTTTATTTTTTGTGTTTTTCCTATCTGATTGTCCTTCGTTAAAAGTGTGTTGAATCTACAAGAAAGAAATTAGAGTAAAACTGTTAATAACAAAAAAAAAAAAAAAGGATCTGCTTGTATCAGCTCAACCTGAACCTGGAGCAAGACTCAACCTGTTCCTTTACTAACTGACATGGAGGACAATGTCAGAGAAAATGACAAACATATAAGTAATGAACTGCACACGTTTGAACAGGTGGATCAACAGGCTGAAGCTGCAGAGGACTACACTAATTAAAAGACTGCTTGAAACAGAGCTGCATGGCTCAGTTACATGTCCTCCAGAGACGTTTCATGATATAACTCAATAGTGAGAATTAACACGGTTACACCTTTAAGTACCCCCCTCCCTCCGCGTCAGGCTTTACTATCTGCGATTGCGCGTCAGCTCTCATTGGCTGTGAGTGATAATCGGTCAACCAGAGGACCGGAGGGAGGCAGAAGGGCACAGGGCAGCATGTTTACAGCTCCGTGCACTCATAAGTAGCTGCTCTAAACGACTCACTCGCTTTATTCGATTTGTCGCAGACCTCACGCTGGTTTCGGGGCGGTCGTCGACAATGTTTCTGTGCCGCACGGGGAGGCTTTCTGCAGCGGCTCTGGATCAGGCTTTCAAGTCAACGGGTTCGTTTCTAGTGCGAGTCAAAAGACTGAGGGACGTCACTGTGACATTACGCAAGGGGAACACGTTTCAGCGATACCGGTGTTTCTGTGTGTCCGTCGGAGGCGTCGACACAACTCTTGCGCACCTGGGGAAACCACAACAACAACCGGACACGCAGCCCGCCCAGACTCGGGACTCGTCGTGTGCTTTACACTGGGAACACTTGGACCGAGTGGCTACTGTAGCCGTGAATCTCTCCAAGCGCGTGCAAAGTGAAGGCGGTTATGTAGATGTTATCACACAGCCGCTCGAGCACACTAACAGGCGCCACGGAGGAGAGCCCGTGGATAATGGTTTGTTTACAGGTAACTGGCGGGTTTCCAGTCCACTCTGCTCCACGGCGACTATGCAGACCAGAGGCTTATCCACGAAGAAGAGCAGCGAGGAGCAGACAGCTGACAACAAAGGGGTAATTTACACAGTTCATCTCGAGTGTTTGTCTAACCCCAGTGACCAGTTTACAAGAGCGCACAGGTCCCAGTCTGTGTCCACACACACTGCTCAACTAGCAGGGGAAACCCGTGCAAATGTCCCGGACCCGGTGCCGTCCGGAGTTAACCTCAAAACCATCAAATATGCAAAGAGCTGCCTGCCCGGGCCTCGTCACGTAAGCAGGCAGGCTTGTTATACAACACCACCATGACGCGCTCAGCTGTGTGGGCTGTCTACTGTTGCAGGGAATTCACAGTCGTCCATGTATAATTGATCTGTCTTCACGAGTTGAATGTGAGGTAGCAGAGGTGTTGTTTACAGAGCCGAGAGAGAGCACATGCTGATTCACCGCTCAACAGGCTCACAGACACCTGACAGGACAGGGAACTCATTCTGGCTCTTTCATAGAGAGTCACAGTAAGAATGAGTCACTCTGTCCCTTTATTTGAATAGGATGTAAATGATGTGAGCTCTTTGGTAGTGATCAGTCAACACAGTGAGGTGAAAGAGCTGGAGATATAGTCCCCACTGCTATGCAGGGTTTGAAGCTTACTCTGAATTACATAAATATTGTGTTAGATAGTTAAATAAGACCAAGACTCTACACCCACGCCTGCAGTTCTGAGAAGCTGTACTCAGGCATAGTGTTGCTTTGGGCTATATGCTAACACCAGTGTGCTAAAATGCATATGTTAAGCAGGTTTGCCATGTTCACCATTAGCATGCTATCATCACTTAGCACATAGCACATGGGGGCTCAGAGGTAGAGCGTGAAGAGGTGAATATGTAGAGCAGGTTGTCCACCTATCAGAAGATCCGTGGTTCGATCCTCGGCTCCTCAAGTCTGCATGTTGAAGTATTAGTAGTATATAGTGTTGGGCAAGATACTGAACCCCAAAACCTCTGATCAGTATGTAAGAGCATGTGAAAGGTTACTGAGCAGCAAGTGGCACCTTGCATTGTAGCTTCAGCCACCAGTGTGTGTGTGTGTGTGTGTGTGTGTGTGTGTGTGTGTGTGTGTGTGTGTGTGTGTGTGTGAATAGGGGATGAAACATGTTGTGTATTGAGTGGGTGGAAGACTAGAAGGGCGCTATACAAGTGCAGTCCATTTACATAGTACAGATGAGGTTTTGAAGAGATGAGAATACTAACAAAATTATTCAAATTGTAACCTGATGGTGGCACTAAAAAGTAAGCGGAAAGGCATCTGGATTCATCATCTAGGAACCATAAATATCCAAACCAAACTCCACTGCAGTGCATCCAGTAGTCACTGAGATATTTTAGTCAGGACAGTGGTGGACAGACCAACATACTGCAACCATGGCTCCAAAAACTATGAACCTAAGTAATATTTGAACAGAAACTCAAAAATAAAACAGCAGCTCCTTTCTTGGAAATAGAGAACATTTTATTTAGAACTAGACTGATGCATATTAACCAATATCTGCTTATTGCAGGCATCACATTGACACTGATGTTGGCCCGATGAGGAATGAGGAATTGCTGCGTAGATGTGCAAAAAATGTTTGAGAAAGTGATCGGCAGTATGACCACAAAAATGGTATAGGGACAATTCACATCATCACAGGAAAACATAAAGAACCAAGGTTTAAAAAGGTCAAATGTAGTGCTTTAATCTGAAGATAGATTATAGCCAATATGAATGATTAATTCTCTCTTTAATATGCACTTCTCTAATGAACACAACTGAAATCCTGAATGACAAAAGTCATTTAATGAATTGGCAAACTGGATTCAAGTGGATTCAGTCGCTCGCAAGTCCCTTAAAAAAGGCTGCCTTCAATTTAGCATTGCAGTCTATAACATTGCTGTACTCATTGGACAGTTGGAGATCAAAATCGACACAGCAAACCAAAGATACCCGTTTTTATTCCACATATTAAAAACCTGGTGCCTATATTACTCACAGTGCAATGAGTTACACAAGTTGGGATGTCCTGGTCCTGGCCATATTGATCTATATAAATGTTTTTACTCATAAAACTTTGAAGCACAGCAACTCTCCAACTCTCTGTCTCATCTAGAATAGCAAAAGTACATAAGACTGTTTGTTTATTTATGTTACTTACCAAAGTTATAAGCACTCTTTGCATTTCAGCTCAGAGTGAGAGTCTCTTGCTGTCATCTCTGGCGCATAGTGCTTCCCCGCCCTGCTCAGACGAGAGACCGTCAGCGCTGAAGTGCTGATGACAACCACACTCACCATGTCACTGCAAATGCAATAAAAGCCCATAAGCAAAAAGCCTATATGAGTTATATATTATTGTAATTGGCTTACAAAATGTACAGACGACAAAAATAAACACTACAAAAAAAACAGTTCAGGCGAGGCGACACGGATGCAACAAACACCAGAGAATACTCTCTTAAAGGGATAGAGAAACTTTCTTGAGTTAGTGGCAAAGGTCTAAGAGAGGGTTTTGATTTTATCCTTAATATTGCACTGCATTAGCTTCTCAATTTGACAACTGAACTGACTTGAATAACTAAAAGTACTTGTTCACTGTATTATATAGAGAAAATGCAAAAATCGGATCCGGACTCCGGTATCAGTAGATATTCTATATTAAATGGCTTGGATCAGGATTGGTGGTTAAAAAAAAAAAAAACCTTCATAGGGGCAACCCAAATACTAACAAAGGCTGGCGTAGCCTCAAGCCTCTAGCTTAAAGCAGACACGAGGAGTGTGCTCCAGAGGTCTGATATCTGAGCTCACTTCTTTGTAACTCCACACCCTCAGATTGTTTTCATTTTTTAACTTGTCCTCTTTGGCCCAACAAACACAACAATTTATCACATGTTACGCAGCTCGTTCTCGAGCCACAGCTGGCTTTACACAAATGTTTTTGCCATTATTTGGTTCAATTTGACTTCTTTTTCAGACTGGTCACTTTTTAGTTTCTGCTGGAGCCTCTGACAGGAGGGATTCACCACTTCACCTTTTCCCTCCCACTCTGTCTGTGTTTGTGTGCCACTGTGACTTTGCATGTGTTTTCTTGCCTCTGAAAAGCTGTTATCAGACACAGCAGACTCACTGTTCCCCTCCTATACAACCTCCCTGGCACAACTCCCCTTGGCCGCTCGCTCACATGACCCTCCCACTCTGCTGCCTGCCTTTACTTTTAGCTCGGCCCTGGCTCGCCTCTGAAAGGCAAAAGGCTTGCACTCTCGCCCCCTCTGGCCTTTCTATTGTCCATTGTTGGCAAGTCAGTGAATACGTCACCAAAACTAAGGCTGCATCCAGGGGGGGCTTGGGACGAAATTTAGCAAGACAAATTGCAGGGAAGAGAAAAGTTCAGCTTGTTTTCTCCTGCTCCCTTCTTCTTCGTCCTCATTGTTTCTGCCTTCTTGATTAATCGTCTGACTCAGGCTCACAAAGGAACAGTCTGAAGAAAGAATAATGTCAGCGCAGCAAAAAAAAGGCACAGAGGGATATGAATGAAAGTTACTGTATGTTAGGCCAAATGGCAATGAATGGATTGCCAGCTAAATCTGCCTCTCACAGTTCCAACTTTAAGAAAAGGTTTCAGGTTAAGACAACCATGAAGTTACTGTACACAAGGACCCACACATTTTTCACTCAATCATTTTCGCCACCAACTACCTTCTTATGCCAATAGATCAGACCAACACCTAAGGGTAGGCTACTTCAGAAAACCGCAAGGCCCCTCCCGTTTTGGGGGAATAGAAAACGGGTGTTTGTATTATAATTTTAACAAGTTTGTATGAAGTTTCTCGTTAAACAAAAGTTTGTCTTATGGGCGTGTCTAGTAATTGTTTTGCGACCTTGCCTGAATGTGAGCAGAGCATACGCAATACTTCAATAAATTAAGGTTGACAGCATCATGTCCCGTCAGGCTTCCTCTATCCAAGTCGATCAATGACCCAACACACTGGCTGAAATTGCCTATCTATACATGTGAAGTAGGGCTGTCAACGAATATTCTAAATTCGAATTTAAATTCGAATTTGAAAAAAAAAAAAGGACCTTCGAATGTAAAAATTGATATTCGATTGTGGAGAGAAAAAAAACACCACCGCAGCTGTCCTCTTTGCGAGTGGGAGGTGGGAGCGGCCACGGAGCTGGCCCGGTGTGGATGACACAATCGGTTAACATGGGCGCTGAAAGGAAACTGACTTCGCTTCGAGGCTATTCGCAGCGCTTCCGCGGGCGGTGTGGCCTGACGGCTCAGAGAGGGGGGATGAGTGAGAGATCCGCGGTCATTTATAACGTAATGTTATAGATAATTGTTTTATGTGTTTTAATGTGTAGGTATGTAAATGTTTTCAAAGACGTTTATGGTGAAATAAAAATACCTACAAGTAGTTATGTTTCCTTGTATTAATACATACAGAAGTATATTTCCTTGTATTAGTTTGCCCTCTTGTGGACATAAAAAAAAAAAATTCGAATGGTTCGACCCTATGAGTTATTTTTAGAACGAATATTCGAACTTCATTTTTGAGCAATTTTGACAGCCCTAATGTGAAGACATCTGGATGTCTGATGATTTAATCAAATATGTAGATTGACTGAGTCACCAGGTATCATTGAGCTAACTGGTGTCTGTAAATAACCAACTTGTTAAAAGTTAACTGTTGATCTACAGACTGAGATATAGTTAATGTTTGATGTTGTGATAGTGATAGTGATAGATTCGATACTAGTGATGTTTTAATTGTCACACAGTTCAGCACTAGATTTTAACAAGGAACATACTTCACTTAACCTTAGACATGTTTGGTAATTTCATTTTAATTAACATTAGAAGCAATAGCTACAACAAAATACAGGGGTTCTACAAAATTTCAAAACCTTTCCATGACTTTTCAAGAGCTCATAATAAAAATTTGTTGTCTTGCCCCACTTGCCAGGCATTTTCCTAACAAATCAGATTCAAACTTACTCAAACATAAGTCCAGCTACCTGGCATACATGAAGACAGAGAGGGTACGCAGGCAGAAAATTAAGAAATGTACGTAATGGTAAACAAAATAATGTCACTGCATATGAGAGCAATGTTATGTCGAGAGCTACAAAAAATAAATCTGCCACTATGCTGCCTCACATGGAATCTTATCCACTGAAGATCACTGTAACACTTTCATTACACACAACAAATTCCATGACCCTTACAGGCTTGGAAAATGTGACTGTGAAATTCCACGTTTTCCATGACTGTAGAAATCCTGAATATATATTCAAAACATCCTGTTAATTCCACACCATTCCCAGGCCTGGAAAACCGTTCGTCTAATTTCATAACCTTTCCTGGACTTTAATGACTGTGGGAACGCTGTGTACGTGTCAAGGAAGCACTTTGAGGCCCTGCAGCACTCAGCAAGTTTGAACTTATTGTTGAACATGTGGAAGTTACAAAACAAGTTACCAAACTTGTAAAATAAATATGCCGTTACACACGTTTAAGCTACGCAACCACACAGTTCAGTGGAGTGCTTTAAATTTTCAGTCCTACATCTAGAGTTTTACTTAGAGAAAACTACTGTTTGTTTTACATTTGAGTGGATGATTTTACATGTTTTGCAAGATCTAAAGTTACTCTTTTAATGCTTATATCGCCCCAGTTATTTCTGTATTCTTACATCTGCTCATTTCTGCTGGATTATCAGGAAAACTATGCACCTACACACATTTTCCATCAATCTCATCACTTATTCTGGTCACTGTTAAAGTTGACCTTGACTTGATAGTCTACCATAATAATGAATTGCCTCTTAAAGTGGTCACTGCAGTATTCTTTGTATTCACTAAGTTGTCTCAGCTTTGTAGGCACAAAGTCAATATTATGTCTAATAATAGACTGATTCCATACAGGCTGGAGCTGCTTCCTGTTTACTGTGGGGAGGATTGTGTTTCCTCACAGCAGAAATATATATTTGTATAACTTCTCTGGCCACAATGCCCTCTGTTCAGCTGCCCTTTTTACTGTTTCAATTCCAGTTTAATAGCCCGCATCATCAAAATGAAAAAATAGCAGGCAATAAAGCTGAAATTATTTTCGGCCCATAATCCCTTAATCATAATAGAAACCTCTAATTAACCTGGAACGGCTCCCCGAGAAGATATTTGGCTATAATTGCATTACAACAGCAGCATGATCAGGCAACAGATTTGTGTCCACAGCACTGGTATCAAAAAATGAATTTTGGCTCTGAATGCTTGGCCATATTTTTGCTTGTTTACTTACAGTTGGTCACATATTTGCTGATTGAGTCACACTTTTATTCGAACACAGGGCTCTGTTTCAGAAGGCTGCATCTCTTTGTGATTCAGTATTGATTTTTACTTTAACTCCTGCTGTTCTTTGCTTTTATGAACCATAATTATTTATTATCTTCATTACGACTACAGATGGGAATTGATTTTATTGACACTTCTGCTTATTGGCCTGATTCTTTATCTATTCCTTTATCGATTCTTGATCATTTTAATATGTGGCAAAAAAAGCAGGCCTACACACTTTTTTTCTATCTCTGAGTCTGAACACACTCATTTTACCCTCCCTGTGACTCAAGTATGAAAGGTGAAGCTGATGTGAGCTGGCTGTAGCAGTCTGTCTGTCATCATCTAACATTAATGAAATGAGAGAATATTTGTACAGCATTTGTTTTCATTTAGGTTTTCTCAGTCATAGAAAAAATCTGCCAGCCTGTGGTGCTTATGTTATTATAACAGGATATTTACCCTCGGTAACAGACGTGCGGATTGTTAAATATGTCATTGCTCGACGTAGCTCTGAGTAGTGACTGAAAGAATGATATAGCGGATACAAGCGGCCGAAATAAGTCTCCTCCGTAGGGTGGTTGGGCTCAGCCTTAGAGATAGGGTGAGGAGCTTGGACATCTGGAGGGAGCTCGGAGTAGAGCTGCTGCTCCTTCATGTCAAAAGGGGACAGTTGAGGTGGTTCGGGCATCTGATCAGGGTGCCTCCTGGGTGCCTCTTGTTCGAGGTGTTTCGGGCACAACCCACTGGTAGGAGACCCCGGGGCAGACCCAGAATACACTGGAGGGATTACATATCTCATCTAGCCTGGGAACGCCTCGGGGTCCCCCAGGAGGAGCTGGAAAGTGTTGCTGGGGAGAGGAAGTCTGGGGTGCTTTGCTTGGCCTGCTGCCCCCATGACCTGGCCCCAGATAAGCGTATGAAAATGGATGGATGAATGGAATTTAAACTCATGTTGAGTAGACAGATGTTTCAGCATATTGCTAGTGTTTCCACCCATATTTGAAATGATCATTTTACAGATATATCAAGCGGTATTTGTGTCATCTGTCTTCATGAAATGAAGCCTTTAGACCATTTCTTCCTCTCCACAATGACTCCTCCTAGTTGCAAGTTTACAGCAGCGTAGACACATGAGTTTGACGTCATTGTATGTTGCAATGTGAAGCTGTCAGGAAGTCATACCAGCACTGATAAGAGGAGTTGATAAAGGCTGGAGACATGTCATTCTGATGGATCAGACAATTAGGAACCAGTTCTCAACTGGAAGTGGTTCTCGATTCCCATCCCTTTTTACACCCCTATTAACACTAGTGTCCCTTAGATCTGCGGTGTCTCTGTACCTAATCATTTCTAAATTCCCAGCATTCAGGTAACTCACTATTAAAAGTTGAGCTCTTGGTTTATGGTGCAGGAGGGGCTCTGGTCACAGCCAGATATGAACTGAAATGGTTTGAAGAAGTTTTATATCAGTATGCTGCCAAAAACAGGTCGAGCTTAGCCTGGGAAAATGCAGATTGCAGTTATACACAGTATTTATCTCACATAATGTCTGGACAGTGACTAAAATTAGTCCCTGAGAAATTAGCATTATAATAAATCAGAATGATGATTAGATTTTGATGGAGAGATATGATGAAAGGTTTTATATCAAATGGTTAAGTCTTGCATCTTGAATTTTTTTTTTGTACATTACTATACCGCCTATACAGGCTCTGCTGCATTAAGCATGACTGCTGTTTCAAACTGCAGCCCTTCAGGCGTCAGTCAGCGGGAGGATTATGTTTATTTACATGCTGTATTGTCAACATACTGCAGGCCTTCTCTTTTTTTACGTCTTGCTTCTCCAGCTGCTCTGTGAGAGTCACGTCTACACCATCAATGCTCCGTTACAGTCTGTTGTCCTGTTGCTGTTGAGTGTTTTGTAGTTCACTAATCTGTTGTACTGCCAGCGCACACTGGAGTGACCTGCCTGCTCCCTGCGACATGTCAGATGGTTGGATTGTGTCTGGTGCTTGTTCATCTCAGAGAGTGGTGTGTCTGGGGGAGAGTAATGTATGTGTTTGTGCACTTGTGAGAGGCTCTTTGTGTGTGTGTGTGTGTGTGTGTGTGTGTGTGTGTGTGTGTGTGTAAGAGAACGTGACAGGCTTTGTTCATGTGTGTGTGTGAAAGGGTAAGTGTTAATGTGAACTACCTAAACCACACAGCAGCAGTCTATGTTTAATCAGCTGACTTGGCAGCAGGATGAATAGAGGAAGCTTGTAAAAGTCCAGGCTTTGTTTGACCTACTTGTACGACCTCAACTTTGACTGAGATGATGCACAAAATTCACAGCACGTGATTTTTCTTTCAGTATTTTGATGATGCACGCATTTCTGTATCTGACCTAAAAATAAAAAAGGATGTTTGTTGTAGCTCAGTTTGGACAAAAAGTCTCCAACATACATAACTCTGTGTTTGGTGATTCTGCAGAACATCAGGAAAGGGAAATTCTAGCAAAGTTTTAAAGATAAAAACTTCACTGCAATTTGGGATTTTGTTGTAGCAGTCCCAGTAAGTGAGGCTTTGAGGCTGTACACATGCCACAGCTTTAACCGTCTGGAAAACCCAAGGTCAGGCACTGGGTACTGCCTTTTCTCTGCCAGCTTTCAAGAGCGTGGTGTCAGGTTGCACCTAAGGTTGCTAAGCAACCTCAACAAGGCCCGTATCATAGCCTGTTTACCTGAAATCCTGAGTGCAGAGCTGATCTTCCAGGTGCCCTTTGTGCATAGGCCTATGGTCCTCGGGACAGATGTAAAGATCTGGCAGCCCTGCACGAACATAATCAACTTTTTCAACGTATTTATCACAGACTGATATTTACGGAGGAAGGTAAAGATATCTGTCGGCTGTGATTGGCTCGTCCTCATCAGATGAGGCCTTGCGCCCTGAAAAATAGGCGCTCAGGAACCAGTGAACACCGTGACGGCATCGCGACGGCAGCCATTACATTATGCAATCAATACTAACTTCATATGATAAGTTAAAGCAAAAAATCTATTTCCACTTATAATGAAGTCTTTTGTCAAGTCATGAGTAACAAATTGATGTCAGGCGTCTGTGTCACCACTTATTACAACAAACAAACACTGTCAACTCATGTCAAGTGGATATTAAAAAAACAATTGGTTGTTTGTTTGAGCTTTTCTGCTTTGTGTGCTTAAATTCAGAAAGTGGTCAAGAGCTGTGACATCAGTTTAACCAGAAATGAAGCCTCCGTCTTGTCAATTTTGTAGTTTGAGGGAGTCCTTGGAATACTAACATGAAAAGTTTCCCGATTTTGTATGTCAAGTGGAAACTATGCCCACAATTTTAATCCGCCTCCTCTTCACCATTCGTAACTCGTCTCCGTTTTTGTCTAGATGTCTTCTTACAGATACGTTCTCCTCCTCTCCTTCCTGCAGCACCACGGATTGATTCTCAATTCATCCTGTAGTTTCATTTTGTTCTGATCACTCCCTCCAATTCTGTTCTCTCATTTTTATTTTTTTTGTCCAGGATGAGCTGAATGTAAAGGAGGCCTCTGCTACCTACTCATCTACAACGAAGGCCCCAGGGGAGCCGGAGCCAGAGGAAGGAAAACCAAACAAGACCCAGCAGCTAAAAAAAGTCTTCAAGGAGTATGGAGCGGTGGGAGTCTTCTTTCACATTGGGATCTCCCTCATGTCCCTGGGAATGTTCTACCTCCTTATATCCAGGTAACTAAACATCAGTTGACTGCTTTTTCTACAGGTAGAGGGCCAGTGGCCACATATCATAGGTCCTGTTAGCAGCTGGATTGAGTATTTTGTAGGGATGCACTGATTTAACATTGGCCAATAATCACCTTGTTGACTACGATTGGCCTATAAGCAAATAAGACAGCATTCACAGATGGCAGTTGCTGATGTATTTCACGTAGTCGACGTAGTCACATCAATTTTGCGCAGGCTAGAAAGCAGCGCTCAAGACTTATCTGTGTCCCATCGTCCCAGGGACAATAAAAAACATGTATGAGACAAAGAGAGATCTTTCTCAGGACGCCTTTTGGACAATATATCTTAATGAAATCTGCAAGAGGAGAGCTAGTTAACGTTAGCTGTTAGCAGCTGGCGGGGGCCAGAACCAGCTAACGGAGGTTGTCTTGAGTCACAGTGTGATACGTTGAAGCTCTGTTCTGTAAAATTATTTATTGGGCAAAGGTAAAATAACATTATCATGGTGAGTTCAACTTGTAGAATTTAATTTTTGCTGAGAAATTGAAATAAATGCAGTTGTTTGAAGTGGAAAGTTATGAAATAATAAATAGTTTTTTTGAAGTAGTTTTTAGTGCTCATTCACAGGCAGTGTAATGAATGAGCGAATGACTTTAAAACAGTTCTGTTATTTTTTATAATTAAAATTCCTTTGTTTTCCTGGCACAAAAGGGGGAATAAAGAACAACAAAAACAAAATAAATATGAACAACAGAAACACTGGTATCGGCTATCGACTAAATTGTTGTTTTAAACACTGATATCGGCACAAAATTTACAAATCAGTGCATCCCAAGTATTTTTATTTAATCGTAATTCCCATTTTTTATGAACGTAGATGAAGGGTTGATGAATGGTTTTTAGGTGCGAAATCAATCAGCTCTACCCACACTGCTATAAAAAGGTGTAGGGTACACTGTGACCTTATCTGGTCCTATTGTCTTATTTTGTAACCAATAGTTTTTTTAAAATTCTAATTTAATGTCTACATATAGATTACTTGCTAAAAAGTCACAATATGTCAAGTGTGGCTACGATTTAGCAGAAAGCCAAAACACATTATAAATTATTCCCCTGAGCATATTTCCAGACACACTGATTCTCAACAGAAGGAGAGGGATTCCCCCATTGACGACAAACCATATTCCATATTGATCATTTACACCCTGCAGCTGAAGGCAACATTGTCTGAAATTCTCCAATGTATTTTTAATAAATGAAGGAAATGACAGACTGAAAAGCAGATGAAGCAGAGTGAAGGGAAAGGACACTACAAACAAGTAAAATGCAAGACTTCAGCACGTTACCAAATAACTGGAATGCATCAGACATCACTTACTAATATTATCTCGCAGTTTGAGAGCATCTGAGTGTAACATTTCCTATAAACCTAAAAGATGTGCACAAGAAATTACTGACCCGTGGGCTGCTTTTACACAGAGGAATGCAAAATGTCTGGTGCAAATTGGCAGAAAATGGGACCTGTTATATGAGAGAAAGCAAAGTACGGCTCTTGAGAACGTCCACTCAGTCTGCCACATTATACCGGCCCTGCTGCTGTTGAAATACTACTGGCTGAGTCAGACACTAAAATCATGCTGAATAAAACATGAGTTCATTTTCTCATCTTGCAAGTGTTTCTTTTAGACTTTTACAACAACACATGCAGAATTTTAAATATTTGGCTCTTCATTCAACTGTCTTCTAAACTTTGTAATCTTCTATTGATGGTGACAGATGGTGAGAAGCTAAAGCAGCGCAGCACAACCTCAGATCTGGTAAAATTATCAGTCCAGACCTTTTTCAGGCCATTGTCTGTCTCTGTGTTCACATACCAGGGGCCTGAATACCACAGAGACTTGGCAGGGATTATCTGACAGCTCAGGCATTTCCTCGCATAGCTGATAATAACCCTTGATCTGAAAACGGACTGTAACAACCACTGAGCATTATCACCATCAGGCCACAGAGCCTGAGCACACAGCCTGCTAAATGCAGTGCTGTGTGCTGGGTAAACAGTTGTCAGGGTACAGATGCATCCTCATATTTAGCTGACTTAAGTTTGCAACAGAGCTGTTAATGTGAGACAGAGAGAGACGCTCGGTTGATCGAAGCAGCTTTAAGCTTTGTGTTAGCACATCCTTCACATATTTATTTCTGCTAATGGCTCAAATGAAAACGCTGCATCTCTACAAAACTGTCTCACAAAGGCTGTGATACGTGTAGCTTTGTGTGATTTCACACACTTGAGATTGTGGTGCTTCTTGTGCTAGTGCCATCAATTTAAATAGCTCAGAAGGCTCCAAAATAAACTAATATACAACATTCTGGATTGAAAACAGCTCCCTCTGGTGGAGATAAAGCTGACTTATACTTATAACCACTTCAGGTAAACCAAATGGGAGTAACAGACTTTATTTGTTGACTTTTATATTTGATTTCTTGAAATCCTTCAGGATGCAACAAGCCACAAGCAAAAGCTTGGCAGTAACAAAGAGACGCTGCTACCACAGCATGAGGTGCTAGGACTTACTTTTTGGGCAATGAAGTTTTAATATTTTTCTTGCAGACATTTTTTTTAAATATTTGTTTTGGGCTTGTGGTCTGCAGAAATCCAGATAATGGCCCATAGAGAGTAACCTTATTGTTTATAAGTTGGTTCAGGGTTTGCATGGCTGCTGCTGCTAAATGTCCATACGTCTAATAATAATAATAATAATAATAATAATAATAATAATAGTATTATATTATGATATGTTATATTATTGTGTTTATATTCTCAATATGTTGGATTTTTTTTTTTAATTTTACATTTAAATGTATATTTTTTAATATTCATAATTATGATAATTTCGTATTAATATTATTACTATCATTATTATTAGGTTTATACTCAATATGTTGGAATTTTATTAATTTTCTAAATGTTTATTTCTTGTTTAAATGTAATTTTTTTTTTTATTCATTTTTGTTTACTATCATTTATTGTATTTTGTTTTTACTAAAATTTTATTTATTTTTTGTTTTTTTAAATGTTTTTTTTAAATAGATTTTTAAAAATAATTTCTTTTAATATTATTACTATCATTATATTTATATTCTCAATATGCTGGAATTTTATTTAACTTTTTTAATGTTTATTTCTTGTTTAAATGACGATTTTTTAAATATTTTTTTTTTAATTTGTAATAATAATTATTTCTTTTAATATTATTACTATCATTATTATTATGCTTATACTCAATATGTTGGAATTTAATTTATTCATTTTCTAAATGTTTATTTCTTGTTTAAATGTAGATTTTTTTATCGATTTTGTTTTTTTGTTTAATATCACTGATTGTATATTTTATTACTAAAACTTTATTTTATCTTATTATTTTTTACTTAAGCATTTAACTTTTTTAATTATTTGAAATATAATTTATATATTATTTTATGTTATTTTTAATGTTTTTTTTTTCCCTTCCTGCCTCATGTTGAAAGTCTTGATTATTTCAAATGAGATGCTAAAGAGTTGTGATAATTAAGTGGTGAAGTTGAGGTAAATATATATCACAGATACCAGAACATACACATGTTGAGGGCATCGCCTGAAAAATCTGTGTACGTGCACAGTGGACTGGTGCCAATAATTTAATACAGTGATACTCAACTTATAGCCCATGGGCCCATTCTGGCCAGCAGCAGGGTGCCAGGTGGTTCGCTGACCAAAAATTATTTTCTTATGATTTTAAATGTAAATAAGGTGCCAGCGTGCATAAAAAACTCAAAATAGAGCTTGTTTGTGAAAAATAAAAAGCCAGGGGAGGATCTCTCAGACCTACCGACAGAGGTGTGGGGTAATTATTTGTATATTAATCATCAGTGTTTATTTATTAAGTGGCCCCTGAGTTAAGCAAGTTGAGTATTCCTGATTTAATACAAAGAAAAATGTGCGAAGAAAATTTGTGAGTGATCGCCCAACACGTGAATCCTGTGTCCTTCTAACCAGTTTTCTGTGTCATCTGTCTCCCCAGTGGGATCGATATGGCAGCCGTGCTGTGCAAAGTGGGCTTCAGCGAGGCGGTCGTTCGGTCTAAAATGGCAGCGGGGACAAGCACGTTCGTCTTGGCCTACGCCATCCACAAGCTCTTTGCCCCAGTTCGCATCAGCATCACTTTGGTGTCCGTGCCTCTCATCGTGCGCTACTTCAGAAAGACTGGTCTCTTTAAACCGCCCACACCTGCACCCTGATGACCCTCCTCTGCTCCTCTGCTGCCTCGCCAAGCAACAAACATCCTGACTGTTAATGGCCATAATTAAAACTCCTGTACATATCCTTACTCACTCGCCTTCACGTAGAAAAGCCTCATCCTTTCTCAGTTGTCATTGTGAATTCAGGTGAAACATTTCCTTCATTAGTTCCAGCTGAAGTAGAATCGAAGTGTTTGGTTGTGTGACTGTAGGATTAAAACGTCTCAAGTGCAACAGCTCTGTATGTGGAGTCTTAATGTATGTGCATTTCAAACACCAGAAACAAAAGGCAAAAAAAGCTCAAGTATTTATTTACAATCAGAGGTAAGATCAGGGATTTTAAGCTCTTTCAGTGGGCGGGTTCGTATCTTAATGCTGTGAAGGTTCCCCGTGGGGACAAGTGGAAAAAGCTGATCTCTCCTCCACTGTTCCCTGTTAGCTGACTAGGCCATGTTCTGGTGTTATGTGAATCAGCAGAATAATTCAGGTTCTCTGTCTCCTACCTCGCTCCTCTCCCTCCCCTTAGCCTCTGTCTCCCCTACATTGCTTTTATTTTCTGCTGTTGTTTTGCTTCCCTGCTATTTTTCTCCTCAACACCTCTCCTGGCATCCATTTTCTCCCCCTCATATCCCTTTGCTCTTCTTCTCCTCCCTCTTTTCCCCCTTCTATCGTCTCTCCCTGTGGTTCTTTAATATTGCAAATGCCACTGCCCAAGCTGTAATGTCGAGTACATTAATCTGAGTGAAGCTGATCGTGGTTCATTGCAAGCTCTGGATGACAAATGTTGGTTTGTGAGGGTTTGTTGTTCTTTCAGATTGAATGGACTGTATTTAACTATTAAAAGAGAAGCTCTCTTTTATATTTAGAGTGTTTTTGTTACGACATACCAACACCATCAGAGGAAGTCACAGAGGAAGTTTTTAAGGGTTTTTAACCACCATGTCACCATTTCTTGGAGAGGTGCCACTTTCAGTTGCACTTCTCCTTTCCCACCACACTGGGGAGCTCCTGAACTACAAATACAGCGCTGTCTGTCCACCACTCCTCTGATAAAACCGCATCACACACATCCTCATCTCTCATAAGATTGAATGTCTTTGTACTCTTATTGTCTTCAAGATGGATACCAGCATTATGTCACAAGAAGGAGCATCACTCCTCGTGCATCTCGCAGATATGATGTAGTAAAAAGCTTCCCAAACTTCTCTAGTGTTGCTCGGCGTGACAGATCGCTGTCTACAAAGGAAAGATAAAGTCAGAGTACAAATGCTGTGAGATTACTCAACACATAAAGCAATTAACACGTTTTATTTTCTATGATCTGTCAACTCAAAACACTAGTCTTAATAATAAAAAACTAAACCATGGGTTATGTCATCATGCACTGACCAGTTTAAGTCCTCATAAAAATTCATTATTCCTGGCTGTATTTTATCACAGCAGGTATGATGCAACCTCCACTTCCTGTCCTCCCTCTCTTTTTCCTTGATGGTTTTGAGGGTCAGCCAGCAGAGCAAGCAAACCTCAGCTGCTTCTGTGTCCCTTAAGATCTGCAGCGTATTGAATGGTAGCTGCCTTGAATAAGACCTGATCTCTCTCCTCTCTCTCTATGTTTGAGTGTGTGTGTTTCTTGGCCCAGTAAATAATTCAGCCAGGAGAGTTGTATAAGGAGGAACTAAGAGAGTGCATGGTGGTCTGTGCCAGATATCAACCCCGGTTTTTCAGGAATAGGAGCTTTGGCAGCACTGTGACACGAAATGATCTTGCACACACACACACACACACACACACACACACACAAAGATCCACACAGAGGAAGAAGGAGAAGCCTGGGCCTCATTAGCCATGATGAGGACAGGGAGCTGCCATCGCCTCTCCATCCCCTGCATGTCCCCCATGGCTAGGAACAAATTGGTGACAGCGCTCCCAGCCACTCTGTCGGGCTACCTGCGATGCACTGGGCTCTGTCAGGCTCCTCTCCTTCCACACACTGCTGTGCATTTGCGTACTGGAGTGTGTGTGTGTGTGTGTGGAGAGAGAGCTAGACTCAGGAGAAAAGGAAGAGAGGGAAGATCAGCTCCTTGGTTACGCTCCCTGTCACCTTTTGCTCGGCCCAGAACTGAGCCGTGATACGAGTGAACACTTCATCCAGTCGGCCTCGAGTTTGATGAAGGGCCCCTCCCCTAACACGAGGGGGGTTCAAGGGGGTTCAAATCCCTGCCTCAGCTCCTGACTCGTGCCCGCTGCACCTTTTATTAAAGTCAGATACACCGTCAGCGTCACCACTGTCGGAGCAGCACACCAAGTGAATCCATTACGACTATATATTCAGACCTGGGTTGCATTTCTGACACCGGAGTTAGAAAGGCAAGTGTGTGTACTATAGTTGCAAAGTGCTGATGCATGCAGGGATAATAAACATACAGCACAAACCCTCCCTCTTCCTTTCTCACACACACACACACACACTCCCTGACGAGCTGCCTTTTCCTCCCTTGCATCTTCTTTTATTTAATTTCTTCATTCTTATTATTTTGTTCTATTTCCTCTCCATCATTTTCTGCACCTGCTCATTATCTCCCCTTATTACCTTTCCCCCACCGTCTCCCCATCTCCTGACCCGCTCCGTACTTGTTAGCCCTCCAGAGTGTCAGCGTCTAGACGGAGAGGCACCTATTCCGTCAGCCTCGCAGGTTCAAAGACATCTTGTGAATTTCTTTACAGGAAAGGGCTGGCATAAAGTTTCAAGGTGCATGCAATCATACACACCACATACACAAACACAGTTATTCTCCCACTCTCTTGCATGCTCTCTATCCTCTGTCTTTTTTTTTTTTTTTTTTGCTTTAACCCTCTTTTCCTCATATTTTTTGGCCACTCCTTTCCCTTCTCCTTGACTTGAGCATCTTTTTCTCTCGCTCTCTCTTCCTCCCTCTCCCTATCTCTCCTCTCCTGTCTCCGAGTTAAGTTTAGCAGATGCACCTGATGGCAGCATCATCCTGGAGCACCTGTCAGCTGTCTGCCTTCATCACGGCTCCTCTGCTGCCACAGGGGCCACGGGGAAGTAAACCTGGAGACAGTCGCTACTATCAACAGCTGCATCTTATTATTTTAAACACCGGTGCCAGTCAATTTCCACCAGAGATGCGTGCATTTTCTTTTTTCTTCTTTTTTTATTCCGCGTGCCACCCTTATCCTCATTCTCATTGCTCCTCCAGATTCAGAAGCTCAGCTGTTAAATGTGAGCAATTATAATGGAGCAGAGAGGGAGGCGAGGTTGGAGACGGAGAGGCAGAGGGTTTATCTAGCCTGTGACAGAGGAGCGGAGGGAGAGGAGGCAGCAGGCATGAGTTGTCAAAGTGTTTTTGACAGTTGTGGATTATGTTTTTGACTGTTACTGTAACTTAGCTGAATGCCTGTCACTTGTCTAACAGACTGGGTCATTCAGTTTGCGCTCGGTTAATGCGACACTTCAGAATACTAGATGCAGTGTGCTGCGACGCCTCCGTCTTGTCTCAGTCCAATTAATGCTCCCCCTTTTTTAGACAAACTGCGGCCTCCATTTTGTCTTCGGCGCATTCACAATAATGTTTGTTAAAGCACACTGATGCACTAGGCATGGAAATACTGAATTTGGCTGAATGGCTAATGGGATTTGTTTCTTCAAAAGAGTTTCTTGTGAAGATTTACTCACAATAAACATAAAACATATTCGGCAATAGATGCCAGACTGGATGCAAAACAAAAATCAACCAGCTCTCCTACATCTGGAGATTTTGTGTTTCCATCCCAGTTCAATTATGATGTCCTAACATCACGAGGGATAGGAATTGATCAGATTTTATCGATACAAGTGCCATTACAGATTCTGCTTATTGCTCTGATTCTTTATTGATTCCCTTGTTGATTACTGGTCAATTTTCTGTGCAGAAAAAAATAGGCATACACAAGGTCTCAGCATCAACACAGTGTAGCTGCATGGCGCTAATGTTATTACAGCATATTTACCCACTGCATCAGAAGTGCTGCTCAGCTGGGGAGCAGTGGCACTTGTGTGTACTGTCACACACATGTGATTCTTGGAATTTAAGCCCACGTTGCACGGAAAGATGTTTCGGTTTATTGCTAGTGTTTCCACTCTTACTTGAAATGATCATTTACGGACATTACAATCAACATTGCTGCCATCTTTCTTGGTGAAGCTAAGCCTTTGGACTGTTTATACCTCTCCGTAGTGACTCCTTCTTGTACCAAGTTTCAAGCAGTGCAGACACATAAGTTTAAAGCTCAACTGAAAAAAAAATTGCCTGCACTGATGTAAGGAACTGATAAGCTTAGAGTCACATTATTCTCAACTGAAACCACCACCTGCAAACTGGTAGTTTAGGTCCAAGTCATCATATATTTGATTTCTTCACCCCTACATTATTCTCCTCCAGGTAGAGCTTTAATAGATGTTCTACTGTGCATTGCCTCTTATTCTGTCTCCTTCCTACATGTACTCAAGATAGCGCGTGACATCGAGGTTTAGCAAAGGGGATGACAGTCTTGAGCCAGGAAATAATTTTCTCCAACCGTTCCACTAAAAATCTCGTGTTAACAATGATGCATTTAATAAGCATGAATTGTGTTGTATTGCTGGTGGAAGGTGTTAAGCTCCACCATCCCCCTCATTTCCTCTTAAATCACCTGGAGATATGAAGGCGAAAGCACACTGAAAGCAGTGTTCCTCAGTCGATAATAGGATTAGTTTACAGTATGTTGTTTTTGGGGATGATTAAACACTAAATTGCTGCGTTCGTCTGTATTTTTACAACCTGTTAGTCCAATACAGGTCCAAAAGGGCAGACAATCAGGCAGATTTTAAATGAATTATTAGAAAACCTTAATTACCTAACCCACTTATTACAATGCCAAAACAAAAGAGTCCACTTTTGAGAAGTAGCTCTGCAAGATGTTAAGGAGGTGCACCTACTATAGCAATACTGTACCACTTCATATGAAAATCACAGCAATGAAGAGGGTCAATAAAATATTATCATAAAAGTGAAACTATGGCTAAAAGTATGAAAATGTTAAGGATAGTTCACCCTAAAAATCAAAAATACATATTTTTCCTTTCACCTGTAGTGCTATTTATTTGTCTATATTATTTTAGTGAAAGTTGCCACATGTTGGAGATATCCGCTGTAGAGATGTCTGCCTTCTCACCAATATAATGGAGCTAGATGGCACTCAGCTTGTGGTGCTCAAAGTGCCAACAAAATAATGAAAAATTTGGTAAACTCAACAGCAATGTCTCTTTTCAGAAATCATGGCCCGGCTACACAAGATAATCCACAGACTTAGTTGTGAAAAGTTTCACATGAGAACTATTTTCCTTCTACCAAACTACACCTGTCAGCCGTATCACAGTGCAGAAGGAAGTGTGCATCCACTGCCACAATTAAGTAGCTAACGTTACAGCTCAGCCAAGGAGGACGCCATTAATGTTTACATCTCGCGCTGTCACGAGCATGATCCTCTTGCCCATGAGTAGATGCACGCTTCCTTCTGCATGGTGAAACAGTTGGTGGGTGTAGTTTAGTCGAAAAAATAGTTCCGACATGAAACTGCTCACAACAAGGTCTGTGGATTATCTTGCGTAGCCAGGTCATGATTTCTGAAAAGAGTGACATCTCGTTTCACTACATTGGAGAGAAGGCAGACATCTCTACGGTTGATATCTCCAACACTCTGCAACTCACACCAAAACAATCTAGACTGATAAACAGCACTACAGGTAAGAGGAAAAATATGTATGTTTGATTTTAGGGTGAACTGTCCCTTTAAGACCCTGTCTGATTTTTCATATTTTCT